CAAACCTTTTTCTTCTAATAATTCTTTTTGTTCTTCTCTCCATCTCTTGATTTTCTCAGGCTCTTGTCTAACCTGGTCCATTGAGGAGACTGCAGAATAATTATCAGTAGGACCATTTGATTGTGGAATCTGAGTATCAGTAGAAAATAAAGAATTTACATGTACAGATCTGTTATCACACAGATGTATTAGATCACTTGTATAATTGACGATTGGCAACTGATAAGGGTTAGGGAAAACCCAGAAAACATTAATACATTTACAATATTCACCAACAGATTACAATAACATTTTGTATACATGTGAATACCCGTACTACAAATCAGGGATCTCGCCAAGCTGGTCGGCGGTGGTCGGCCCCGACCGGCACTCAAAATTAGCGACCACAACGGAAATGCTTCCGACCGGGACTATTGTCCGATTGTTATTATAATTATGTACCGACCGACACATCCTGTCAGTCGTGGATTATAATTTGTAAACAATAGACCTAGTCGCACGATACGTAGCGGCTAGTCAATTTTGTGAAATTAGCACCTCTTTGTTTGTAAGTAAATACTTTCTGCGATAGTGTCTCTGACTGCGTCAGTCTTTAAATTGAAAGGTAAAATTCTTTCAAAATCAATTTCACCTCGATATAACATGGTCAAAGCGGAGTTCATGATCTGACAGTTTACGCTACTCAAGAAAAAAATCAACGTGTTTATTGTGTGATTTGGTAAAATACACTTGAACTGTTATCACGATTCATGTAAAACTCTTCTTTCAAAACCTATTTTACCTTTTAAAAATTGCTAATCACCTCTTTCGTTCACCGTCGTGCAGTTTTCAACTGAAATCAATGTTTTTAAATTCAAACTCTTCTAAATTGTCTAACATAATTTCTTAATTCCAAAAATATTTGCTGCGACCGAACTCATTAATATTCATTGCTAATTAATATTCATATAGCTCATTAATATTCATGATCGACCAGCACTCACGTTGGGCTGGCGAGATCCCTGACAAATGTAGGACTCCTGTCACTTTATAATACCCACCTCATTTTGTACAGC